CTATTACCTATATTATCTTTAGGATAAACTACACATTTAATAGCTAAACTATTACTTTTGTTCCATTTTGAATCTTAAACTTTATTTTTTTTTATCAAAATCATACTTAACATTTAGTTTAGGTTTTATTTTGAGATGATGTTCGCGTTTCATAAGATAATATCACATCATCACTAAAAAATAAAATATATCACGTCAGCAGTCCTGTTGATTTTTTAACGAAAGGGTACCAAATTGAAACTTAAACTAAATGTTAGGTATGATTTAAAAAAATAAAATTTATGTATCAAAATAGAATAAAAGTAATAATTTAGATATTAAACATGTAATTTGCCCTTATCTTTATTATAATAGTTTCATTTCTTGGGTATTCTAAGAATAGTCTTTTTTAATTATTGTATTTACATAAAACAACTTCATACAAAATTTATATTGGATGCCGATTCAACATTTAGTTCCATCTACGTTGATAATGTTGAAGACGTATAATTTAAAAGTTCAAGTGGTTTTAGATATGTAATAAACTCTCTAAACTAATATTTTAATTAAAAATTTAGAGGTTTAAATTTCTATAATAGCTTATACATTGAAGATAAAAGCTAGGGGAGGGTTAGCATATAAGTTTTTGCAGTTAGACTAATTGTTTATTTGCATAATAGTATGTAGGGTAAACTATATTATAAATTATCGGGTTTTAAACATTGTCTAATTGATATTATTAATCGTTTTCAATTGAATTATTAAATTTTTATTTCTGTTTCAATTAAATCGTTGATATAGATGACAATTGTTAACGTTGATATTACATTGAAATGAATTTCTTGTCGTACTATTTTAATACTCAAAATAACTGAAAACGTTATCATTTTAATGATTAAAAATAAACAAATGTATAAACGTTGGTGTTTCCTTTGTATAATAACAAATTGTTTATATGAAAGTTTGTCATTGTTGCAAACAATTTTTTGATACGTAAGTTCGATGATAATAGTGAAAGTTTATCGACGTTTAGGTTTAGGATTCGTAAATGTTAGAAAAACATGAATGATTGTGAAATTGATTTTAATTTTTTTTAAAAAAAACCCTAAATCAATATAGGAACAATTTTCATTATATTATAACAAAGGAAAAAAGATTGCCATGATGCTTAAATTTTGGAATTTTTTAACGAGGCTTAGCTTCAATTTCTTAACATTCCAAATGCCTCTAAATTATTGATGTGATATTATATTACGACATCACTTAAACACATATGAACATATCACGTCATCTTAAAATAATGTGTTAGTTGATCAATGTCTTTTATTTATAGAGAGATTTTTCTATCCCAAAATAACATTATGAGTTAATATTTTTTATAAAAAAAATGAATCAACACGAATATTTAATAAAATATTATGAATATTTTTTTGACATTATGTTTTTTTTATTTACTGTTTAATATTATATTATTTGAAGTATCTAACTGTATGGTTCCATCAAAACAATAATATGCTTTGTTAAAGGGTTATTAAATTTGGTTTTATCAACATGTGATGTTATTCATATTAAACAAGAGGACAAAACCAAGCGACGACTAAACCCACAATGCTTCATGTTTTATTTATGATATTTCAATGACCTGTGATTTAGTAAATCTTTGTTGGAAGAGTCGTTCAATATTAATAACCTGACAAAAAAATAACAAGAAAAAAAAAACAAAGTGGTGGATAGCTGAGATTAATCAAATCACAAGATTGATATTATAATTAATACAAAATCAAGCTTTATGTCAGGCGTATTGATAAAGCGAACTTGTATTATTCAAGAATAACAAAGTATACTATATATAACAATGGAAGAGTAAAGAATATATAACAATATTAAAGCATCCAGTGAGACAGAATTAAATTAATTAAACCGTAAACAATGCATGGAATTACACTTTAAGAATTTAAGGCATGTAATTAAGATTGTGATGTTTTGCTTTTCCTTGACGGTGGCGTATACCATGTGCTTCCTCCCATGCTTCTACGTACATTCTAAGACTTGGATTATTAGGGCACCTTTCTCTCCCTTTTATTGCAAATAAACTACGTATAGTTTGTTTCCTAATAAATTCGATTAGTAGCGGATCTAAAAATATTTTTTAAGATCGGTCCTATGTTTTAATAACATAAATTTTTAGTTTGCATGGATACAAATAGAATTTTATGATGGATATCATTAGTAGAATAAACAACTAATATAAAAAAAACAGATTTTATGATGAGCATGTATCCACCCTAAAAAACACATACATCCATCACTATATCCGATGATCCATAGACATTAAATCCAATGTTTTTTATTATTTAAAAATAATAACTATTTTCGATGTTGAATGAGAAAGAATAATAAATTGTATATGTGATGATATTTTATTTTTAATTTAGACGAAAATAATAAATAATCATTGTATAACTATCGAATATCGTGAGTTTTTTTTTTAAAAAAATAGATGAATACTCTGATGTTGATGAGGAGATAGACAATAAATTTTATGTTGAAGAAAAAAGAAAAATATCGTTTTATCCTTTGAATTACAGTCTAAAATATAAAATAATTATTTATGAGTATCGATGATTTTTCGTGATTCTTGCTAATATAATAACAATAATAATGAAATAAGGACATTATATATGATAAATTGTTTTATGACTAAAAAGGGAAAGGTTTTTGGAGCTTTAAAGTCCATAAATCCATTCCAAGGCAGTCCAAAGGATCAACAAGGTCCAGATTTCCGTCTTAGAGGATACAACACTGATAAAAAGAAAATTCTTAGCACAAAAAACCTACAATGTTCGGAATTTTTGAAAAGATCTCCCAAACAAAAGGAAGTCCAAATGGTATAATTAACCTTTACCCAATGTTTAAAGTTGTAAAAAAAGCATTCCTTTAAAGGAAGTTATAATTAAAATTAAAATTAATAATCACCAGACATAATCAAATTGATTTAAATTTGAAATATTGATTGTAAAATTTGTAATGAAAAACTGCATATTTTGTAGAAAATAATATCAATTATTTAATGGAGTGAAATTTGTTGGAGTTAAAGGAGGAAGGACCTTTTGGCATTCAACAGGTGCAGATGAGTTAAAGGAAGGACTCACCAGCTGTCTGAACAAAACAAAGAAACAGCTGACTTAAAGGAAGGACCCACTTTTTATACATGTTATTCTTCTGGTGTATGCCATTCTCGTTCACATTGCAATGCAATACAAGTGCTTCTTTCTTATGTTTTTTGTTCCCTTCACTTAAAATATGATTTTCATTTGGATAAACATATCCTAACCCCTTTAATCATTATTGCTTTCTCATACCCCCATCCTTCTGTTTACCAATTAATTCATTCAAATTGAATCCATAAAATGATTTCAGTTGGTAAGATAAATGTCGTTCTTCTTAAAGATATTGAATTCATATCTATAAGATATATACATTATTAATTATTAAAAAAATTATAAACAAATATTATATTTTAATTATCTTAGACTATTAAAAAAATTAATTCAAATCGCATGTTGTAAAATCGCTGTGGTTGCAGTTTGCAGGTTGTCTCATAATATATATGTGATTATATTGTTAGACTTTTCAGATTATAGTTTATGTATAAGTTTGATCACCGCATAAACCAGTATATTCAGCAATAAGTTTCTTGTTTTCAGTAAGTGGATGGATGCCTTTACATTACTGCCTTTTGCAGTGTTTACACCTTTAGTTGCGAGCATGCCACGAGGCTGAGTTTGTGTTAATTACGTTTATTCAAATTATATTTATATCGTGATAAGAAGGATTTAATTATTATATAAATTATTTTATTTATATTATTAATCATATTAATTATATATTATATTTATCTTGAAGAATTATTAGATTGAATAAAAAATTTAAAATTGTTGGATTAAAAATATTTAATTATAAATATATATGAATAATGTATTGATATTATAAGTTGTATTCATAATTTAATAAAAATAAACTATAAATACTTAAAATTAATTCAGTAATCAATTATATAAAGACTAAAAATAGATTAATTTATATGAATCTTCATCCTATCAGAAAATTATATGACAAGATATAATTTATTTCTTAAAAAATCAAAATTTTATAAATAATCTCCAATAATAAATTCAAATACAGTTATATATATATATATATCTTTTTATGATTTTATAAATTCAACAATAATAATGTGTTTCAGAAATAAAATATTTAACTTAAATACGATGCCCAAATCTTTAACTATTAATTGTATGCATTATAGGTGAATGAGGTCGCCAAATCAAGGTGAATGAGTGATATTTAGATAATTGACCATTATAGGTGATGAGATTTTTCAAAAGAAATCAAAGTACTTATTTTAGCTCTTTTTTAAAAAAAGTAAATTCTATTAATTTAAGAGAATTTAAAGGATAAGAAAAGAAAAACACAAAAAGGAAATACTCACCGTATGCCCACAATTGAAGGCCAAGTCCTTTCTATTCGTGAGGCATATTGGGCATGCAGACTGCATTTACATTGCAATTGCAAACAAAATTAGTTATGAAGAAATTTTACTATATTACATAAAGGATTCATTGATCAAGATAATGATGTATATATTTCCATAATACTAAAGAAAGCAAACATGCATGCAAGATAAATACATACCTGCTGATCATCTGATGCAGCAGCAGGTGATGCCGATGCAATGCTTGGTATACGTTCGGGCGGAGCAGGTCTACGGTAGGAAACTGGGGGAGGTCGTGGAACTACTTTTTTAGCTTTTCCGGTTCGGCGTCTTGATTTGTTTGATGCAAATACATAAAATAGTTAATGAATAATTACAAGTATCATACTTGGGAATAAACTAAATTATTGAAGATTAACCCACCCAAGAATGCCCAGTTCCATGCATGCTTTGTACTGTAAAGGGATCTCCATGAGGGCGGCAAGAGAAAAAGCAGTTTCCTTCTCTTCTTGACTTTATTTTTTTGTCATAATCCCTGTGAAATTAACAAACTGCACATGCATTTTAGAGATAAAAAACCAAATTACATGTCATCCGATTAATTAGTTTGATATAATTATCAGACAAAGTCTTGCCTCTACCTCAATCGAAACCTGGAAGTTTTCGAATTCACGCGACGGAATCTTATCATCAAATTTCTTCATATCTTCCCAAGGTCCATCGCCAACACCAACCAAAACAATCGCCTGTGGGTATAAGCAGGAATGTGTGAATGAAAACAAGAATAAAAATAAATTCCTCCGCTTTAACACTATTGAATCTATGCCTTCTTCAACATGCGTACTTATTGACAATGTCACATTAGATGTATTCAAAACTCAGAACTGAAGTCTAAATTAATAAAAACAAATTCGGAGATACATTCAGTGAGAGTGAGGGAGAGAGAGTGAATGAATGAAAAGCAGAGGCAAAATTGCTCATAGGAGAAAAGTTAAGGCATGAGATATAGGACCTGGCCATCTGCAATGATAACTAACACATGGAATTGACCACCACTGTTTTCCACAACGTCAACAGCAGCATCGATTACAGGTGCGTAAAATGTTGGTCCTACAGCACAATATACATGGCCAATGCATTACGATTCGGAATAAATGAATTTTTCATGATATAATGTCGATATGGAAATGTTAAAATTGCCAAATCCGGGGAATAGATGCCAGTTCCCAGCTAGCCTCAAGTTTGGAACAATCTTCCTGTAACAATCTAAGATTTCCTCAAATCCATGGCAAGATGAACGATCGCTGTGAAAGCTAAACACCTCTGTATCGTGCGTGGTGGCTGTGACATTTGAACCAGCAACTCAATTAGATGAAAAGATAAAAGGTAGAGGAGGAAAGATCAACAGTCGGAGCAGACCAAAGCCGAAACAAGGTATCAAGTTATCTTCATCGAAAGGAGCCAGGGTCTTTCCAATAATCGTGATAGCTTGTTCATATGGATTTGGCGTGTGACCAATGGCATGTAGACTCCGGTTGTTGAATGATACTTTGCCTTCAATAGAAACATGGATGTGTTGGCTTCCAAGATACCGATTCAGAAAGCAAAAGAAGAAAAGTCTGAAAAAAAAGACATGGATATAATTCTTAAAATAAAATTATTTTAAAAAAAAACTTAAATAATTAGTAGATAAAGATTATATTTTAAAATTCTTCTCCGAAGCTTGATTTTTATTTGAGTCGCTGACTTTATAATCCAAGTCTTAAAACATGCCTGCATCATATGTGATTAATAAAGAATATTATTATTACACTTAGTATCTTTTAAAATAAAAATTGAATATTTTCTAACTGGATTGACATTAAACTCAATTAGAATTTTAAATATATAATATAGATAAATCTAATTTTTTAATAATATCAAAATAAAAAATGACTATAACCAAATTTATATAACAATTATTAATGCTTTAAAATTAAAATAACTATAATAAATAGGATTTTAGACTTAGGCAGCACTCCACTTATACTTGGTAATCGAATAATTTGTAAAGCAGCCCCCCAAATCTTACGACTAATCAATTCAAATCCTCTTCTTTTTTTTCTTTTTAACTCAAGGAATCGTTTATTTTTCCCTCATTACCACTGTTTTTCTTATATTTTAAATTAATTTCAATTCTCATTTTAAATATTTTAAAATTTGTAATCTACTTGCTAATTAATTTACAAAATGTGACTTTTTTAAAATATTTATTATTTGTTATGTACTTGCACTTTCTTTTATTTTATTGTGTTGGTTTTACTTGAGAAATCACGAGTATTCAGACGAAAACAAAGGTCATTATTTGGATTATTGATATTAGCTTAGCTAATTATACGCCTTTCAAAATATATAGACCAAAATTAATAAATTAAAAAAATTAAACTGGATTTAAAGTATTAGAGGAATAAAAAGGAATCCGATCATGGGTTGAGAAATTATCTGGTATAAACCGATACTTCTCCTTTGTAGATTGCTTTGGCTTGGAAGGTTTACTAGGATTATGATTGATTTGAGCAGTGCTGCGATGCTGCGGCGTCCATGGGTCGCACCGTCGGATAGCGATCGGATGTTCTTCTGGTGAACGTTCTTCAAAATTGCAGCTGCTTCCGCTTCTGTTTAGCAAGAAAATTACCCATCTCATCTTCTTCTTCTTATTTCTTTGATAAAATTGTTTTATTTATATGGTAAAGGAAGAATCTAAAATACACGCTGCTTTCCTCATTTCAAGTTTAATTTGCTTGATAAATCAAAGGAACGCAACCCCAAATATTCGATCTCGCGCTACTCATGAGTCATGAGAGGCGAAAAAGAAGATTTTCTTTACTTAGAAACAACACAAGATGCTGACTGAAAATTATATAAATATATTAATATTATGCTTACTTATATACCAATCTTTTACGCTAATCAAACTACTTTAATCTTTAAAATATTTGTTGTTATTTTTAAAATTCTGAGTTCAAACATATGTCATATATATAAATATTTGATAACTAAAAATTTTAAATATCATAGGTTAATTCAAGTAGTAAGTAGTTTGATATAATTATGTTTGAGAGACTGACCTACCTAAGTCAGATGTTGACGTGGATCAGTTTGGATCTAGAATCTAGATTGGTCAATGTAAAGATCCAGACTAGTCAAGGTAAAATCTTAGAATAAGGAAGACAACAAAAAAATTTACTATTTACAAACATATATTACTTTATATTCATCTCAAATTTATAAAAAAAAATTATATCACTCTTTTAAAAATACACCCATTCCGTCAATAATAATGTATATACTTTTAAAATTTAGATCATTCAATAAAAGTACAAATAAAAGTACAAATATTTTTATATTTAGTTTTTTACATCATTTATATGTTTTTTTCTCAATTTAAATATAAAATTTTTTGTTATTAAAATGAGTATTTATTCTCTATCTATCGTGAATCATTTGAATTGGCTAAAAAATCAATACGTAATATTTTATATAAAATTTTCATTTATTGAGATTATACGATTTTCTCTGATATATTTTCATAAAAAAATTAATTTTCAAGACTAATTCTTAATATACCACTCATTTCTTCCATGTAATACGAAGGTGCTTAACTGTAAAAAAACGCATTCTGAACGTGACATCTGAGTTAATAAAAACACTTCCTATAAAAAATACTTTTGATATATAATATGGTGAATATTGCATATGTGTCATCGATGATGGATGTTGTATTATCCCAAGGATTGCTAATAAGTACAAGCCGAAAATGTTTGTTCTTTCCTAATTAGTCGAGAGATGATGATATTGTGTCGGTGAACGTTTTTCTTGACGATAATGAATAAACTCAATTTGTACATCATTAGACAATGTAAACGACTTCCCATATTCATAGTGTTAGTTCATCTTGGCATTTGGTAATGGAAAATCCATATTTATGTGGATGGATGCATGGTTACCGGATCGCACTATACCTCGCCCTTTATTTTCCTTGTTAGCTGATCTAGTTTCAACTGAGCGGGTTTCTTCTTACATCTCTTCTCACGATTTTCTTGGCATCCCTACTTGGGATGTAAATAAACTAGCTCCGGTGGTTCATCCCGATGATATTGGTAAGATTCACAACATTAATCTTGCGAATTTGAATGTTCATGATGTTCTTTGATCACTGGTATGTTAGCAATTCAGGGTAGTATTCGGTGAAAAACAGATAAATTTACCTGTGACCAACTTAGCTCGTTGACTCTGTGTCTTGCCATTCCTGATCATCTCCTCCGGCATATGGCATGCATTGACCCCTACCGAGGTTCGTGTTTTGAACCGGCATGTGTCGCATTATATAGTTCCAACATACGAAATTCTGTAATCTCGTGGTAGGGATGTTTATTTAACGTGTCCTCCTCGTGATGCTTCGCCCGAGTCAATGCTTACACTATTTTAGGGATTGTCTCCTGTGAGCAAGGGTGTAAATTAACTGTATTGGACGAATAAAGTTGTGTTTGTGTTTATTTGTTTATTTTTGAAGAGATTCATATTCGGTTTTTGTTCAATTAAATTTTTAATATCATGTTTGTTTTTTTAAAAGTGTTTGTGTTTGGTTCATTTAATATTGCGAATACATATGTTTAGAAAAATGGTAAAATTACGCTTTGAAACCGTAAACTCCTTAGGTTTCAAACTTTGAATTCCAAAGTTCACACTATGTCCAATTTAGTTTCTATCTTCATTAATATTTAAAACGTAAAGGGGAAAAAAAAGAAAAAGAAGAATCGAGGAAACGTGCTTATAAACGAGTCGATAAATGAGTTTATTTGTGAACATAAACGAACTAAACACTTTTTTTTCGTGTTTGTTCACTAATTAAAATATCATAAAAAATTTGTTATACTCATTTATTTAGCTTAATAAGCGAATATAAATATTATACGAACGGTTTATCAAACGCTCTGTTATTTATAACCCTACTGGTGAGACTATTTTGGGAGAGCCTAGATTTTCAATGGATAACTACCTGAGCCACTTCATCTTCATCTTGGATACACTCGGTTGCGTTAGCCATGAATGATGATCAACTTTCTTATGTTTTCATGGTATACAATCTGGTTCTCTCGTATCAAGGTGGTACGCGAGAGCCTTGCTCCTTCCAAAAATCTCTCGGCTGCTCATGTTTGTCGTTTGGATCTCTACTTTTCAAGCAACGCAATTGCCTCCAAACTTCATCACCTATGCAGGATTATTACTGGTTTCCTTCATCTGTTGGTGTTCTTAAGTTGAATTTTGATGGGGCATTTGACCATGACTCCTCCATTGTTGGTATTTCGAGATATTTATGGTGTTATTCAACTAGCTTGTAGTTTGGCAGCCATCCGCCAATTGCGTTCTTACTATGGCTCTCCGTGCAACCTGTTATTCTCTCATCTTGGGGACTCATCACGTGCTCCAATCAATACTGACCGTGTTGAAGACTCATGCTCCACGATCCGCAAACCAAGTGTCATAACCATTTTTTTGAAAAACAATTAAATATTATTTTAAAAATAGTTATAACTTTTATTTTGGAAAATTGATGATTTTGTATTAATTAGAATTAAGTTGAAAAGGAGTCGCCATCGACCTTTGGATTAGGTAGGTCGAATACCTAAAAACGTCTTTAAAAAAACAATTTTAAGAAAAATCGTTTTTAAGACAAAAACGGTATGCGTTTACCAAAGATTCGATTTAATGGATTCGAGAGTCGGTTACGTGTGGGGAAGGATAAGCACCCCACAACGCCCTAAACTGGTACTGAATCGCTTACACATTGTCGTAAATGGTGGAAATTACAAATCGAATATAAAGTTAAAATATGATCCGTTTATTGAAATGTAATTAATTTACTCCGAATTGATCAATTAGAGAAAATTCTTTAACTTGAAAAGAAATCTCGAAATTAACAATCTTTCATTGGGAAAACTATCTTGTCTATTTCTTATTCGTAAAAAAATTCCCTCATCGATAAATATGCAAATCGAATATAAATAAAAAATCGATGTTTACATACAAAAAAATAAATTGATTAACTAAAAACATGAATCGAATACAAATTAAAGAAATTTGAAGTTTACATCCACATAAAATAAAGTAAATTGTTACTTAAAATAACAAACATTGTATCATTTGAACAAATTAATTAGTAAAATATACTCGACTTATTTCAAGTTCCTATGTTGTTAAAATGACGTACCGGATCACACCACTTCGACCAAGTGATACTTTCCACGCTCATTCTACACATACGTGTTCTTGAAAATAAAATTGAATATTTCATCCATAGATAAAAAATATAATGGAAATACAAATATTTACATTAAATGGAACTAAACACATTATTTACATAATACAAATAACCACATAATATGTAAAATACATTCATACATAAATGACTAAAATAAAAACAAGTGAACATTACACACCAAAATGAAATCATTAAACTATAAGTATTTACAGGACTAAAATAAAATTAACATAAATTTAAAGGGCTAAACTAACAAAAATAGAAACTTAAAGGATTAAATAGAAAAAAACAAAACTTTAAAAGACCAAAATAGCAAAAACAGAAACTTAAAAGATTAAAATAGCAAAAAATAGAAAGTTAAAAGACTAAAATATCAAAAATAAAAACTTAAGGGACTAAAATACAAATACAAATAAACCAGATTCCCAAGATTGAAAATATTAAATAGTACAAGTACTAGGGCCCCGTTTGGTTCAGGGTA